TTATAGTAAATTATGTAGTTCTTCATATAGCATAAAAGACTTCATACCTCTTATTTCCAAGTCTCCGCAATAAAATATGAAAGCAAAACAAAATTCTTTGGGAGTACTATATATGTAAATTACGTATTGGGAAATCATTAAGTTTCAGTATGTATATTTAGCATAAACGTAATGTCTGGGTTGTGATCGTGCAGCGAAAACAAAATGAAAATATTTTTAAGAAAAAAAATTCCGCAAGTACTAAAATGTTTAAATATGCAAATTCCGTAATGGGAACCCACCGATTGTTTTTATCTACATCTTAATAATAAATAAATTAATAATAAATAAACTTGAATCAGCATAGACGATAAGCTCGTGCAAAATGACATTTTCACAATATTGTGTTGGTATTATATCTAGTCTCTCACATATAAATTTAACTTCACCTCGGAAGTGGTTTTTCTAATACTGAAAGGGGAAGATTCAAAGGATATTTAACGTAGATAAATGTTTTTGAGTCGCCCCCTGAAAAAAGATTAAGATTAGTATTTTGAGGCGGCCCCTCCAGAATATTTTGAGGCGGCCCCCTCCATTAGCGATCATTCAGTCACGTGACATTTTTAGCGTGGACAAAGCAAACAAAGTCTTCCCTCCATCCTCCCCAACAACCTCCTTTGCCATGAGGAATATTTACTTCAATTTTTTTTTTTGCAATTTGTCTTAAATGTTTTTCATGATAGTTAGTAAATGTATTTTTGCAATTTGTCTTAAATGTTTTTTATGATAGTTGGTGAATGCATTTACACTGATTTTAGGTTTTATGTTACCCACCTATGTGTGGGGCGGTTCTATGTTACCCACCTATGCATGTATGCGTGGAGCCTACATTATTTGAAACTGTTCATTTGATAACTATTTTCATATGCATATTTTATTTTCGTCGTAACTCCTGGTTATAAGATTGGTGCAATACGGGAGTGGGCGTCAAACGGGATGTTTTCCGGTCAATAACCTAATATCTTGATCAAAGCTTTAATATATGAAAACCTTGCTGTGCCGCCGAGGGTCAAGGTTAAGATGACTGTTAACTTAAAATAGTAAAATTGGTTTCTGATATTAACACGAGACTGGAATGAGATTTTTCAATTAAACTTGGTGCATAGCACGCCTATGTGAAGTCCTTACTCGGGATTTCTTTTGGGTCCCTCTTGGGTCAAGGTCACTGTTGTTAAAATAGAAATCGGTTTCCGGTCTGGGGTAGACCCCTCGTACAAATTAGATAGCTCGTGTCCCGATGCTCTTTCTCTTTTGTATAATAAGCAAATATAAGAAGACGTTCCCTGTTGTCACAATATGAAACCCCAGAAAAAGTAACCAATAATGCGGTAATTAAATGAAACTACTTATGTGAAGACCGCGCTCAGGACTGCTTTTGTGCCCAAAATATAAACAAGAGCTGTCACAGAATGTGACAAATGCCCCAGACGGATTCTAGTTATAAATCACCTATTACACGTTAAGTGTGGTGATAAAAATTGACAAAGTTCGAACCCCAGCAGTGACCTTTAAGTTAGACAAAGAAACCTGGGTCTTGTTTACAACACATTGTCTATTGTGACTTTATATTTTTAAATAAAAATTGAAACTTTCATGTATATGGAAGTTACAGAGCGGACACAACAACCACCGTTTATATGTATATAACAAATATTGAAAAAGTTTAAACCCCAGCAGTGACCTTGAACTAAGGTGTAGAAATACAGGTCTTAAGGGCAACACATCATACATTTATGATAATTTCATATGTGAAATGAAAAATATAATCCTTTCATCAGATTAGTTTCAGAGCAGACACGCCCATCTCTGCCTATATGTATATTTACATTAAAATTGACAAAATTTTAACCCCCACAGTGACCTTGACCTAAGTCATAGAAACCAGAGTCTTATTTGCGACACACCATACATCTATGGTTATTTCATATATGAAAGAAAAATTAAAATCCTTTCATGCACACTGAAGTTTCAGAGCGGACACGACCACCACTATATGTATAATTATTATACTATATGTATAAAGCGGGACGGACTTACGGACGGACTTTTCGATTTTAATATGCCATCTTTCGGGGGCATAAACAAACTGTTTCCGGTCATTAGAGTTTGGAAGAAACCTAGCATGTTGCGAGCTTATGTGACCTCACTTTGGATTGCTTTTGGGACATGTAGGGCCAAGTTCAAGGTAGTTGAAGCTTAAAATAGAATGTTTGGTTTCGAGTCAAATACTAGAGTACGAATGAGATTATTCAGTGCAACTTTTAGTCTAAAGATGCTGCCTTGGATTGCTTTTGCCCCTACAGTCAAGGTCACTAGTCACTAAAATAAGAAAAATCAGTTTCCGGTTAATAATTTAAGTTTGTAATGAGTTGTTTTTTCTTGTTAAGACATTGCTTGGGATTGCTAAAGGCTACTGTTACTACATCGTCGGATACCCACGATTGATAAACATGTCACATAACATGCAATCAATAATTGTTAATGGTTCGGCCGTTGGTATCCGACGATGCTGTTACTAAAGAATCGACAATCGGTTTCGGGTCATTAAACAGAGTTAGGAATGAGATTTGTCAATTTAATTTTAATTTTTACAAGAAGGTCTAATCACAAACCTTGTTTTGAATCCTTACCAATATGTTCAATTATACATTTTACATCTAAAACTGTGCACATGGTCCAAACCTAATAGTTGTACATCAAAGGACAATTAAGTATGTCAATTCATCAAAATCAAGGTCAGTTTATATCAAAGTTCAATTTTACACCTTAATCTGTGCACATGGTTCAAATTTCAAATCTGTACATCAAAGGACAATTAAGTATGTCAATTCATCAAAATCTATGTCAGTTTATATCAAAGTTCAATTTTACACCTTAATCTGTGCACATGGTTCAAATTTCATACCTGTACATCAAATGAGAGAATCACTTTATCAAAATCTAGGACAACTGATATCAGAGTTCAAAAGTAGGTCACTTCAAGGACAAGAAAATAGGTCAATTCATCGAAATCTAGGTCAGCTGAAATTAAAGTTTAATTATACATCTTAAACTGTGCATATGGTTCAAATTTCATAGCTGTACATCAAAGGACAAAAAAGTATGTTACTTCATCAAATTATCTTAGTCAGCTGATATCAAATGTCAAAAGTAGGTCACTTTGTCAAATTAATTTCACATCTAAAACTGTGCACATGGTCCAAATGCCATAGCTGTAGGAATAAAAATAAATAGAATTTCATCAATTAACCTAAGGTGAATTAAAGGTCAAACTCACATCTAAATAATTGAACATTTCTATTTGACCACAAGTCTTTTCTTGTCCAAGTATGAATGAAATCCAAACGTAGACAACAAAATTATGATAATTTAACCAAAATTCAATTCAACTTGACAGTCAAGGTCTTCAAAAGCTCAAGGCCAGTTCTAGATTTTATATGGTCTTGTCTATAAGGTTGTTTTTTTCCAAGTATGAAGATTATCCATTGATAACTTGCCAATTTATAACTAATTATAACTATGAATGAAAATTCAACAATTTGACCTTCAAGGCCAATGTCAAACATGAGTCAATGTCAATTTGAGTTTAATCTTAATGAAGGTTCTGACCTTAAAGATGTTGTGTCTTAATATGAAGATATAATAAGGCCTGTCAGGTTAACTTGATGGTCTATCCTAAAGGATTGTTGTATTCAAGTTTGAAGACAATACATTCAAAAATAACACAGTTATAGCCACTAATAGAACAAGAACCGGTTGAACTTGGTGATGCTCCCCAAGAAGGTTTTGGACACAGGAAAGTATAAAAAAAATAAACAAAGGGCAAAAACTCCAAAATTTGGCAAGGCAGAGTTACGGTTCTTTCGCACTACAAACCTACTCAATGAGATCTATCTATCTGCAAAGTTTCATGTTGATAACTCTTATAGTTTCAGAGTTATGCCCCGGACAAAGTTCAAAGTGTAAAAATAAACAAAGGACAATAATTTAAGTATTAGGCAAGACAGAGTTACGGTTAGTGTGTACTGCACACATTCTCAATGAGATCTATCTACCTACAAAGTTTCATGTTGATACCTCTTATAGTTTTAGAGTTATGTCCCTGACAAAGTTCAAAGTGTAAAAATAAAAGGGCAATAATTAAAAAATTAGGCAAGGCAGAGTTACAGTTCTTGTGCACTGCACACCTACTAAATGAGATCTATCTACCTACAAATTTTCATGTTGATACCTCTTGTTGAATTCAAAGTTATGTCCCCGACAAGAAAAGTGGACGGATGTTCTAACGGGACAGTAATAATGTGGCTACTCTATTGTTCTCTCTATTGTTCTTTTTAACCACACGAAAGAAAATAGCCACATAAAAGCATTACGGAATGAGTGACATCAAAGAGAAAGAACAGTTACCTATTGTCCCTCTAGCCACATTATTACACTCCCGTGAGAGCTGACATACAGACGGACAAAGCGACGATTATATGCTCACCCTTCGGGGAGCATAAAAATCAACCAAAATTTAGATATTTTGTCTACTTGAAGATCTTGTCCCAAGGGTTGTCGTGGCTAAGTATAAAAACAATACACCATAAACTTAAAAAGTAATGATCAAAGTGAAAGCTTGCAAATGGCAACACCGCCATGACTGTAACAATACTTTTTTTTTTCAAAAATAAAAAGTCGAACTAAAAATTAGTTTCCAGTTGAAATTAAGAACAGAGGTTGTTTAGCACTTATTAACTCTGGCATCCATGTTTGTCAGCAAACCAAAACCATTTCAGCAATTTTAGTAAAAAACAACCAAAACCATTTCAGCAAATTTAGTAAAGAACAACCAATCATTCCTTACAGTTTTATCAAAAACCTAAAGCATGTCTAAGATGTTAGTTGAAACTTTATGACCTAATGACCATTTCTGTAAAGTTACATTAAAATCTATAGCGTGAATATAAGCTTATTTGGTGGCCATTTTTCTTCAGCAGACTGTAACAATTTCAGTGATTTTGGTAAAAGGCCGCCTATGATCATTTATGTTAAGTTTCACTAAAATATACCCAATGGCAGTGATGTTGTTGAAAGTGTTTTATATTTATCTTGTAAAACACAATAGAATTATAGTTTCATCAAAATATACTACATGTGGCTAATTTCTATTTTGAACTCTGGCGGCTAATTTTGTTAAACAACAAGAAAGATATTAGTAACTTCTTAAAGGACCACTTAATGATCATTCCTCTGGAGTTTCATCAAAATCTTCATAGTGGTTTGTGGACATGTCCTTTACAGGTCCTTCTTTTATTGCAGCAGACATGGACCATTTGAGGAATTGTCAGAGGACCATTCAAAGATCATTCCTGTATAAGTTCAACACTATTTACATCTAAGATAATCCGTGATAATTTCCTTGTTTTAATTCTTTTAATTTCATAATAATGTTATCAGCTATGCTAGCAAAATATCTTCTACACTCAGTAAATTAATATTGATTCGACAATGTTGCTTAGCATTCATACATTTGACCTAATCACAAAATTGAAACTGATTGACTAATTATAAAATATTTAAATTCATTTAATATAGAATCTTATTGGCTGATTCACAATTATGCAAATGATTTGGATGTAAGTGCAGAGATAAAACAAACAACAGACTTTAAAACATTATTCTTTTATGAACTGTACATTGATATATTCAATCTATTACTGTAATATCTTCGATCTTTTCCTGTAAAACATTAAACAAAAAAGCCAGCCAATGCATCTTCAAACTGGTTAATGAACTTGGCTTTAAGCTTGTCCATTCACATTGTTTGGTTGTATGATTTTCACATCTAAACAGCTGTTTTGTAATGTGATCTTAGAAACTATATGTTGCCCTGTTACCATGGAAACATCATCTTTAATGATAATGCCTGCTTGTTTCCAATGACAACGAGAATCCAAGGTGCTGATCACAATGTCTTTGTTTAACCTCAATTCAAACCAGTATACTAAAGCTGTGATCTTCCCAGAGGTCACAACCTCAACTGACCTTTCAACCGTTTGTTCAAGGTCATTTTTTGTAGTTTTTGCAGAGATTCCACTTATATCAATGGTAAGAATTTCTTGTACATCAGTAAGTCGAGTATAATTCAGGCTTGTCATATCAATATTCATGTGATTTTGCATCTGAAAGAATAACAATAGCATTAAAGGAACATATACAGTTCAAAACTTGTTAATTGAATTAAATTGAAAATGCTTTTTTTCTATACATGTCCATGTTACAAAATTGACCATGTTACAAAAGTGACCATCTGGGTGAGGCTATTTTTCAAAACCAAGGAGTATGACAAACATAACTTTTTGTAAAGGACTATTAAGTAATGCTACCTGCCAAATATCTATTTTATTTTATGAGCCAATCACTACATGCAAGTGTGTTTCTTCATCAAAACAGATGACTGGCCACATAGAACAACTTTTGACCTTATGTGCATGATCTTAATTAGTTTTTATGCACTCCAGAGTTTAATTTTTACTGTATTCCCTTAATTCACATATGCAACAGATGAACCATTTCATAATATTTTTCCAGCCTCTCTAACATTGAACATAAGGAAAAAAGTATGAAAAAATAGTAAGTTAGACAGAAAGATGGAGGGAAGACAACCCTGCAACTGTAAGAAATATGAAGGATAAGAAGTACCTGGAAAACATTGATGAAGTCTGCAATCTGAAACCCTAGAGTCCTATCATTTCCTGTCACATGACTCAAGCTTTCAAGTTCTTCAGACTCTATAAATAGCCCGTGAATTTTTACCTCAGCAGGAAGAATCAAACCATCCTTTTTTAAACTTGCTATCCTGAAAATGAATCAAAAAAAATTTCAGTGTATTATTCAGTCATGTGACATTCCTGGGGACCAGTCCAAAAAAGGTCACATGTATATAACAAGTCTTTTAATCCAGGTACACAAAAAATGTATTCAAAATATTGCTATAATATTATATGTATTTATATTTTGTTATATTGTTATTTTTGTTGGAGATATAACACAATCTCTCTTTACCTAATCTTTTCTTTTTTAACCCTTGTTAAATATCTTAAATAGACTTGCCAGTCTTTCAATCTGAACAAAAACATTAATAATTTTTAGGGAAAATTTCAAAATACCGGTAATTACTGAGTGAAGTAAAGTGTCAAGAGTCTAGGTCAAATCCTTTTTGAGCTAAAATTGACACAAGTTGAAAATTGCAAATTTTTACTACATCAAGGGCAATAACTCTACAAATACTAAATAAATCAACAAAAAAACCCACATGTGCACTACTACACATACTAACCAACATTCCTGTATAGTTTCATGACAGTATGGGAAATTCTTTTTGGACTACGGGCTACACAAGTTGAAAATTGCAAATTTTTACTACCGGTAAGTCAAGAGCAATATCTCTGACAAAATCATATTAATCCACAAGTAATACCCCAGGTGCACAACTTCACATACTGACCATCATTTCTGTAAATTTTGTTCATTCTAACTGAAGCACTTTTAGAGCTTCATGTGACACAACATGTGGTTATTGTTTCTTCATATTTTTCAGTGATTCTGATTACAACACAAACCAATCAGTCATAAACAGTAATGTACCAAAGAGATGTATATTTTGTGATTGTTAAGCATTTCAGTTAACAATCACAAAATATACATCTCTTTGGTACATTACTGTTTATGACTGATTGGTGTGTGTTTTAATCAGAATTTACATCAGATGCACCGAAATGGTTTGAAATTGAAAATGCATAATTATCCCTAATTGTATTGGTTGAGAAAATAATGGTAATTACAGTAATTTACTGCCCAACAGCTGTTGTGTTAACCAAGGTGAAGTTACTGAACAAATACTCCAAAGTTTTAAGTGAATATATCCAATGGATTTTGAGGAATGTAATTTAACAAAAAGATAACCTAAGAAATTCAAAGAAAAAAAGGGGGTATAACTGAGCAAAAGTAAATTATAAGGTTACCTGCCCTTGAAAATGCATTCAAATTTTAAAATTAAACAAGTACTGTAATCCTGTCATACCTATGATATACTAGATCTTCAAACACTTGTTGTCTAAGAGCACCGCATGGCTCAACCACATCACATACAATCACATCCACTTTCATTTCAAGGTCATTCAAGTCAGACAACTCTGTCAGAATTATCTCCCCTGGTTTGCAACCATTTAGTGCTGCCACCTGGTGTAATGTATTATGATGTTCTTCTGGTGTTGCCATGGTGACCCTATTATAACCCATTTTGGCTGCCTGAATGCCCAAGAATGATAAATGAGGAGAAATGTAGAGAAATGACAAATATGAGCCTGGTTTTTGTGCCCTATAGGACTCCAGCACATGGCAGTAATGTCTGTTCAGTTGTATGTCATTCACATATTCAATGTCAACTTGCTCAGCATATGAAATCAACTTGGGAACAGTGTGTGAATATTTCCCAGCCACTGTAACACTATCCATATACTCTAGAGGAGGCATTGCATCAAATGTTTCAGTTAGCCTAGTTTTTCTACCAACAATGCTTGTTGTAACATGTGTATCAGTATTATTTATGTCTAGAGAACATTTCTCCATCTCTCTGTCAACATCTAAGAATGAGGTACTTTTTTCATTATTTTCAATGACACATGGATTAGAAATGATGTCAATCTCCTGGTTTATACATGCTGCTACCTGTTCATAATTGTCAGTTTTATTCTCTTCTAATGTACACAGGTTTGTTATATTAGAACAATTTTCAAATTCCTGACTTGCACTGCAGTTTGTATCAACATTATGACATTGACTGTAATGAGTGTTTCCTATACCCCCTGTCTCAACATCATCACAAATGTTTGTCCTCTTATTCTCTAATACATTCTCACCATCTAGTACATTACCATCTATATTAGCTTCACAATTACAAGTGTATATATCCGACTCACAACTTTCTACTTTTCTTTTCCGGAAAGGTAAACAATTTGTACTACATTCTTTCACCGATGTTCCACTACATGTCTTAAATAAGTCACTAGTTTTAGATATACTTGTAGCAAGGTTGTGGTCCTTAACATGTTTTGCTAATGTGGTTTTAAACTGTTCGTTCTGCGCTGCTTCACATTTGGACAGTCTTAGACAGTCACATTCATAATGGAATGTTGCTCTCACTTTCTCTTTTCTCTTTACATGACAATTTTCATGACCTTAAAATAAAAATAACAATTAAATATCTCACAAATATTATACAACAATATCCACAATATATTTCTTAATTTATGCAATTAAGACTTGGTATCTGGTTAAGTGAAATGTATAATATTGAGAGAAAATGTGTATAGTAATGCAACTAGGACATCATTACAATGTCATGAATACCAACATTAAGGTGTGCAGAAATCTGCATTTTTTCAACCTGCCCTTAGGCAAGTTGGACAGAAATATTAACTTGTTTACAGCTTAAAAGTTGTCAGATGTTAAAACAAAAGGGTCCTTCAATAGAACAAGAGGGCCATGATGGCTTTGAAATTGCTCACCTAATCTCAAAAAAAAAAAGAAACAAGTAATATTGTTAACTATAAACAAAAGCAGATATAAAATCTAAATCTTAAACTGATATCACAAATATCGCAAAGTTCATATTTGTATCTTAAATAGTCCATGTGTAAAAACATTACTGGTTGCTATTGCTAAGGGAAAACAACAATTCCAAAAGATATGTACATATAAGGAAAACCAATGACCCCTTGGGCAGGGCCAATTTTGACCCTAAGGCTTTTATTTTAACAAACTTGGTAGACACCCTCTAGAAGAGGTTTCATGCTAAATATCTAAGCTCTCTGTTTTTTTAAAGCTTTTTTTTTAAGGTTTTACAATATACATATAAGGCAAAATCAATTTACACCTTATATAGGGCCACTTTTGACCACAGGGCTTTTATTTGAACAAACTTGGTAGACACTGATTAGAAGATTTTTCATGCTTAATAATTTAATGCACAAATAAGTGAAAATTCAATTATTTAACCTTCAAGGTCATAAAAGAGCCAAAGTCAATTTTAGTTTGATAAACATGAAGGTCTTGTCCTAAAGAATGTTCTGTTATAATATGAAGTCAATCCATTCAATAATATCAAAGTTACAGCCAGTTACAGCCAAAAAAAATGAAAATTTCAATAATTTGACCTTCATATTCAATGTCATTTATGAGTGAAGGTCAAGGTCTGTCCAGTCATTTTTAAGGGCTATCCTTGAAGATTATCATGTTAAAGTTTGAAGACAATCCATTAAAAAATAACAAAGTTACAGCCAATAATAGCCAAAAAAAGAAAATTTCAATAATTTGACCTTCATAGTCAAGGTCATTTATGAGTGAAGGTCAAGGTCTGTCTGGTTATTTTAAAGGATTATTATTAACTAAGTTTGAAGATAATCCATTCAAAAATAACAAAGTAACAGCCAATAATAGCCAAAAAAATGAAAATTTCAATAATTTGACCTTCAAAGTCAAGGTCATTTATGAGTGAAGGTCAAGGTCTGTCTGGTTATTCTGAAGACAATCCATTCAATAATAACAAAGTAACAGCCAATAATAGCAAGAACAAGTAAAATTTGGACTTTTGACCTTGAAGGTCAAGGTCATTCATGGATGAAGGTCAAGGTTAGTGTGGTCTACTGAAAGTCTTGTCCCAAGGGTTGTTGTGGCCAAGTATGAAGACAATACATCAAGAACTAAAAAAGTTATGATCCAGGTACAAGTTTGCGGACGGCAACGCCCCCAGACTATTACAATACCTCTACTTAAACAAGAGCTGTCCGTAAGACAGCGCGCTCGACTTTTTTATTGCTTGCCAATAAAAAAAGTTTTTGCAGTAAAAGGCAATACAAGAATCTCTGTATTTTTAAAGTGAACTAGTTGTTTGATACCCTTGAATATTACAGCAATGTTTATATGACATAATTTATGGTAAAGTGAACAAGTGGATAGGAATGAATTTTTTTAGATTTTTTAAGTTTTTTAGTGCTTGCCTATAATACAAAACATTGACAGTTAAGGGCCATAATTCAAATAAAATCTTTGACAGAATTACCTTCTCCTGGACATGTTTGGGAATCATGATTGTAAACAAGTATTCCAACTTTCAAATTAATATCTCAAACAGTTCAGTCAAAAAGTGGACTGGTACTAAAAACTTAACCAAGATTCTAAGTCGATAAAAGGCCTTAATTTTTAAAACAAATCCTTGACAGAGTTACCTTCTCTTGCGTACAGATGGGGGTAATGATGTGAAATAGCATTAAAAGTTTCAAAGCAATATCTCAAAGGGTTAAGGCAATAAGTGGATTTTACCCATATTCAATGTATTTTCTAAGTCAAAAAGGGGCATAATTCTGTCAAAAACCTTGACAGAGTTATGTCCTCTTGTCTGTTGATGAAGGTCGTGATGGTAAACAAGTATGGTCAGTTTCAAAGCAATACCTCCAATGGTTTTGAAATAAAGTGAGGTGGTACAAAAAACTTAACCAAGCTCAATACACTTTCTAAGTCAAAAAAGGGCCATAATTCTGTCAAAAACCTTGACAGAGTTATGTACTCTTGTCTGTAGATGGAGGTTATGATGGTGAACAAGTATGGTAAGTTTCAAAGCCATACTTGTAATACTTCTGAAATAAAGTGGGGTGGTACGAAAAACTTAACCAAGGTGTGACGCCAACGCCGACGCCGGGGCGAGTAGGATAGCTCCCCTTTTCATAGAAAAGTCGAGCTAAAAAACAAAGTCGAGCTAAAAATGTAATGATTAGTTGAATTGTTCTGCTTCACACAATATATTAATCATTAAATTCATCAATGAAATTCAATGCAGACATATAGGAAACCTTTAGTATGTCGATAATATGGAGTCCCATACTACATATAAGGAAAATCAATGACCCCCAAGATGCAGGGCTTTTATTTGAACAAATTTGGTAGACACCCACTAGAATATGTTTAAGGCTAAATATCTAAGCTCTAGCTCTCTGGATTTTTTAAGAGAAGATTTTTTGTGTTTTTTGAGTTCTGCATGGAATTAAATTCTTTGAACAATTTTCAAAGGTGATCATCAAAGGAACATTCCTGTGAAGTTTAGATGAATTTAACTTAGCGGTTTATGAGGAGATGCCATTTAGAGTACCGGGTAAAAGTTAACAAACAGACAGATGCCTGGCGGATGACAGACGAATTGTGATCACAAAAGCTCACGTTGTCACTTTGTGGCAGGTAGCTAAAAATGTGGACAAATTTCCATTATTGTATGGTAGAATATAAATGTTTGTGGAAAATTTCTGTAAATTTTATACAAAACTGTTCTTTTGAAGGAAATTTAAGTGTCAAGAAAACCCAAATGTGAGCTTACAGTCATGTTCCTTTGTCTGTCTGCAATTTAGAATAAAGTTTTTCTGGTTGAACACTTTCTGATTCTTCAGGTATTTTATGTGGCTTAGAAATGTCCAATTTAACAACAAATTTGTCCAGTATTACTGATTTGACAAAAAAAACCAACACCTTTACAATTGCAACAAAATGGGCAAGACATTATTTATTTCTACATTGAGATGATACAACCAATAAGGAAACTTGCTTTATGAAAGCTAGTGTTTCAGGCATGAGGTGGCCAACACGGGGAAATTATTGGTACAGGAAAGTATTCATAGTATTATCTACAGAAAGTAAACATATATTTCATAACAATACTTGGAGATTAAATGTTCCCAATAATTGTTAATGGATAAACATACATATTCTTGTCTGTGTATGTTTTTTTTTTTCTGGCTCAGAAATCCACTTGTCCATGGACAAGTTCTAAGGGAAAATCTACCTGTCTGCTGACAAGAGATCTGATATTTGTTTGTTTGGGGTTTTACGTCACACGGACACAGTATAGGTCATTTGGCGACGTTCCAGCTTTACTGGTGGAGGAAGACCTCAGGTGCCCTTCCGTGCATTATTTCAGGCACGAAAGGGCACCTGAGTAGAACCACTGACGTTCTGATAGCTTCCTCACATGAAAGAATCCGCAGTCCCTGTCGGGATTCGAACCCACAGCGGTGAGGGGCAAGTGGTTTGAATTTAACGACCTTAACCACTCGGCCACGGACGCCCCTAGAGATCGGATAAGTATAACTGATTGATGTTGGAAATACTGATGCACAAAGAGAGTGCACCTATTTTGTACTGCATTAAAATCATATTATCACATACCCTTGTCGCTTTTGCAACTCCGTAAAAATGGTATTGCACAGCCGTACATATATTTTGATGTTATTTGTGTTATACAAACATAGTGTAAAGATGCACTAAATGTTAGCCTTATACTGAATGTGAGTCAATGAAAAATGATTCTTTTTCACATTAAATGGTCTTTATTTTTGGTATGTGGTAAGTAGAGTATTCAATTCATGTAAGTTCGTTACTGAATGTCCAATATTTATTGAACTTGTTGAATAAAATAATACTATGCTCGCCCGAGGCTCTAATTATATAATTTCATTAAACTCATTCAATAAATTCAGTATTGAACTTACACACATTCAATATCCTCTATTTATTATATATTGAGACAGATATTACACATGTTTTGTTTACTTCATTTAATGTACAGCTTATATAACCTACTGTTGGATTGTTTCCTGCTAATGGAGGTAACAGGATAAATTGCTTGTTCCCAGCAACTCTTCTTATCTGCCCCTGTCCCTATAGTGATTGTGTCATCAAGGTGAAGGTCAAACCATACAGCAAGAGCATCAAGGCGGCCATCTTGCTTCACAAATAAATCACATAACCAATCTTTACCTTTGTGTAAAGCTTCCAGCTCCTGTAATTTCATATATTCTTGTATTATAACAGTTTCACCATAAATCCAACTTAAATAAACTGAGAGCCATATTAAACATTTGTGATATAATAAGAATCAATTTTTATTCACTGTTCAATAATGAAATTGAAAGAACAATTTTTGTAAATTTTCTATAAATCAGGTACCACATGCAATGAAATTATTGGTTGACCTAATAACAAGAGCTATCCCATAGCAGGGGACACACTCTTCTTGTTTTTAAAGGCAAACACTTTGGAGTAAGGGTTCTCTAAGAAAACACCATTTCCTGTGGGCCAAATTTAATCTAAAACACCCACACTGATGTGAGGGTCATTAACAATAGCTTGAATTTTTCTATTGAAAAGTGGAGCTAAAAAATATTTGAAAAGTATAGAGTTTAATGTGCAGACACTTAATGTTCAAATTCTGACCTTTAAGGATGACCTTCACCTAGTATCTGCTTATGCCCAAGTCAATGAAAAATTACTTAATTTGAACTGTTTCATCAGTCACATTATGTCATGTTTTAAACACTTTCTGATGAGGTAAAACACTCAAACATATATTTGTACAATATGTTTTATTTTTTATATAATCTGTACAGTGGTACAAATACAACATAAGTTTAGTTATAGATTTGCAAAAACATCACTACATAGAAATTTAATTTATGACAGACAATATTTGTTTAACACTAACAACCAAACAATTTCGTTCCATCTAAATTTGCAGATAAAAATATTCAAAAGGTTATAACTTCTGCATATAGAAGAATTATTTGAACTAGTTTCCACATACAAGTACAAACAGTTTTAAGGAAATCCATCTCCAGCTGTAGCATTCACAAGACTACAAGTGCATGGACAGACTGGCATGGGATCAAGCTCACTCCAGTATACCCCCTTTCAACTTTGTTTGTTTCATCGGGGTATAACTTCCTAATGTAATTTGTTTTTGTTTCAAAACACAGCATTCCTATATGAAATGTAATTATGATTTAATTCCAGATTTTGCCTTTCATGTCATTCAATAATTAAACCTGCAATTTGACTATTTAAGCCACTAGATGGCGCTGGGGCAAATTTTCATGGTATTTTTGACATGCTTTACATCCAACAGCCCTTTTTTTGAAATAGTGAAATAACCAAGAAGTAATTTGCCTAAAAAATTTTTGTATAACTTCTTTGCAACATTTGAAATAAAATGGCAGAGAAAATTTCATGAAAAATTCACTTAAATGTACTTTGTGAAAAAAAATATCAGTTAACTGTCAAAAATTTGAAAATCCTGGGGCGGAGTAAATGGGGTCATGAACTTCAGATTGTAAACAAATACACATGGCAGTGTTAACTTTCCTGCAGAAGATTGAAATATTACTCATGGCATCTGTTTGGGAAGGGAGCTGATCAGTAATAACAATTGTTATCATCTGCTATAGTGTTTGTTTACATCAAATTAAGCACTGGTACAGTGTCCTCTGCATGAGTGATGGTTAGTTCATCTGATAAACACAACTACAAAATTCTCCCTACCAGGGCAGGGATTTTTGGGGCTTTAAGCATGCAATATACAATGATTACATAAGAAACTTACACAAAGGTTGCAAAAGCTCACTCTGAGTAGTTCTACAATGTTGGTGAGTATCTTATAGCCTCCCCTGATCTTTGCCAAGTTTTCCGTTGTATAAGGTTCCTCGGCAATATGACCAGTGTTACATAACAAGTTTATGTGACTTACATCAAGATTCTGCAATACTGGATACAGTAATCTGAAACATTAAACTATTCTACATCACAAATATATTTGTATACCAAAACAAGGGTGCCATAGTCACAAAATACGCCCGTTTACAAAAGCTTTAGATGGAGATGGGGGCATTATGGATAAGTGTTATCTAGCAAGCAAGTTTTTATTCTTGGCACTGTGTTGTTAAATGAACCTTAAAACAAATCAATAGGGAAGATATGCACAGGATGTGTGACCTTGACCTTGGTCGCAGGGACCTGAATTTTATGCACGGCACTCAGCCTCACAATGATGAACATTTGTGCCAAATTATATTGAAATCCCTCTATGCATGTAGAAGTTTTGCTCCAGACAAGCGTTTTTCTATGAGCTCTAACTGTGACCTTCACCTTTGACCTAGAGACTTGGTTCATGTGCAGGGCACTACGTCTCATGGTGGTGAACAATTCTATAAAGGAACATTAAAATTCCTCCATGCATGTAGAAAATATGCTCCGGACAACATCTGGATATTTAATCATCTCCAGTGACCTTGACCTTGCAAATATTAATCTAAATTAAATGTGTCACACCTGTAGTCATGATAGTTACCATTTGTGCTACAATCCATCAATAAATGATGACTAAATGGTCCCTATACACATCTTCAAATTTTTATCTGAACTTTGACCTCTATGTGTAACCTTGACTTTGGTCGCAGGGATCTGAATTTTGCGTGTGACACTCAGCCTCACAATGGTGAACATTTGTGCCAAGTTATATTGAAATCCCCCTATGAATGTAGAAGTTTTGCTCCGGACAAGCGTTTTTCAATGAGCTCTAAGTGTGACCTTGACCTTTGACCTGGATCATGCATGGAGCAATACATATCATGGTGGTGAACATTTCCATAAAGTATTATAAAATTTTTTCCATACATGTAGGAGATATGCTCCAGACAAAATCTGGATATTTCACCATCTTTAGTGACCTTGACCTTGCATATATTGACCTAAAGTACATGTGTCACAGCCGTAGTCATGATAATGACCATTTGTGTTACAATCCCTCAATAAATGATGATTAAATCGTCCCTATACACATCTTCATATTTTTATCTAAACTTTGACCTCTATGTGTGACCTTGACCTTGGCTGCAGGGACCTGAATTTTGTGCGTGACACTCTGCCTCACAATGGTGAACATTTGTGCCAAGTTATATTGAAATCCCTCTATGCATGTGGTAGTTTTGCTCCGGACAAGCGTTTTTCAATGAGCTCTAAGTGTGACCTTGACCTTTGACCTAGAGACCTAGTTCATGTGCGTCACATGGCTTCTCATAATGGTGAACATTTCTATGAAATTTCATTAAAATCCCTCCATGCGTGTAGGAGATATGCTCCAGACAAAATCTGGATATTTCATCATCTTAAGTGACCTTGACCTTGTATATATTGACCTAAATTATATGTATCACAGCCATAGTCTTGATAATGACCATTTGTGTTACAATCCCTCAATAAATGATGACTAAATGGTCCATATACACATCTTCATATTTTTATCTGAACTTTGACCTCTATGTGTGACCTTGACCTTGGCCGCAAGGAGCTGAATCTTGCGCGCGACACTCCGCCTCACAATGGTGAACATTTGTGCCAAGTAATATTGAAATCCCTCTATACATGTGGAAGTTTTGCTCCGGACAAGCATTTTTCAATGGGCTCTAAGTGTGACCTTGACCTTTGACCTAGAGACCTGGTTCATGTGCGCGACACTGCTCCTCATAGTGGTGAACATTTCTATGAAGTTTCATTAAAATCCCTCCATACATGTAGGAGATATGCTCCGGACAAAATTGGACGCCGCCCGCCCGCCAGGGGCGTTCCCATAATACGTCCCGTTTTTCAAACGGGCGTATAAAAAACTAAATGGTAACCTAAAACAATGCCTAAAACAGCAAGTGAAAATGTGGGAGGCCCCGTTTTAAGACTTGGTTACCTGCATAAGGCTAGTGCTACATACAGTGACCTCAAACATAATTAATAGCAGACTGATAAATTTAAATTTTGTGCTTGTCTGAGAAAAGAGATATTAAAGGAATTCCACTGAGGTATTTTAACATGAAAGTACTGGAAAATAATTTTTGATATTAACCTTCTGTTTGATGTAGGTCTAGACCAATAAATTGTGTGCCAAATTAAAGATCATTCCCTCATTTTGTTTTAACAGCATTACTAATCTAATTGTGAAAAGTGACCCACAAATGAAAACTTCAATGCTTTTTATTCAAATTGGGCTGAGAATAGCACAAAAATACGATTTTCAATTTTCAATTAATTCAGAGTATACTATTTTTCCATATGGTTCTGTTTTTAAGTGCCCCAGCTAATCTTTGTAAGAATTTGAAATTTTCTTTAAGGCTTTTGGACCTTAGTAGAGTTCATTTAACCAGTATCAATCTAGTAATTGCAACATAATCACTATCTGTTCTTTTCCATGTTTATCATGTGCTACTCGGTACCTGTTTATTTATGTGTTCATAATATTATACATGTACTACAGATTGTTAAATATAGATATTCTCAGTTCATTGCTAAACTTTATGAATCAAATGTTGTACTTTTTGCAACAAAGTAGTGCAATCAGAAACAAAAGATATACTGCAAAATCATTATTATTCATGGGAAACTAATTTTTGTAGTTTCTGTGGATTGGTCAATACACAAATTTGAGATCCAAGGAAATTTCATTAGTTTGTTGTAAGATTATTTTGCATCACATTATTTACGTTCTACCTTTTTGAAAAATAGTCAGTCCACGACTTTAAGAATCCACAAACAAGTTCTTTGTGACATAACCACGAAATTTCATGCCCATGAAATTAAATGAATTCACAGTACCTTGTAATACATCAGTATACCTGCTCTGAGTTCTTATAGTTTCACACTCAATTCCACAAACATACATGGTGGCCCCACATGGTATAACTGTTCCCATCTGAAATTATGTAAACAATTATATTGTTCTGCAATCTAAAACATTAATACAGAAGGTGTTTCATGCTTAATATCTAAGCTTTAGCTCTTAGGGTGTAAGTAAGTAAAGTCTTTATTTACTGAGGCTACACATTTGGTTTCCCAATCTTCCATGTGGGCCTCAAAACATAAATATACATAAAATATACATAATTTACATCATGGTTATACAGCGAAATTTTCAAATAACATACATGAAAACACAAAATGCATAATATATACATGAAAACACAACAACAAAAACAATGTACATTCAAACAAAATACATATTCAAAACACAATGCATGTACATACATTACTTAACACTAAATAGGTACTTATGTGAAATTCCAACTGATATAGGAAGCTTGGAATTTTCCAGTAGTTTCAGATTTAAAAATAGATAAAAGAAGGTTTTATAGTTATTTTTTTCGGTTGCCATGGCAAGCAGAATTTAGCATGGAGCGTAATTCTTTGGACAATTTTTTAAGAGTTTCATGCCAGGAACATTTCTGCCCAGTTTTAACAATATCGGCCTTTTGGTATGAGAGGAGATGTTATTTATAGACAAGAGGGCCATGATGGCCCTGAAGTCGCTCACCTGTATATAGGCCCCCGGGGCGGGGCCAGTTTAAACCCCAGGGCTTTTATTTGAACAAACTTGGTAGACACCCATTAGAAGATGTTTCATGCTAAACATATAAGGTCTAGCTTGTCAAGTCTTTTCTTTACACATATAGTTAAAAACAATGACACACCTGGGGCAGCGCCAGTTTTGACCCAAGGGCTTTTATTTGAACAATCTTTGTAGACACTTACTAGAAAATGTTTCATGCTTAATATCTAAACTCTAGCTCTTTTGGTTATTTCAAAGAAGATTTTTAAGTTTAATTTGCTATACACATATAAGGAAAATCAATGTCTCCCGGGGCGGGGCCAATTTTGACCCCAGGGCTCTTATTTGAACAAACTTGGTAGACATCCATTAGAACATGTTTCATGCTAAATATCTTAGCTCTAGCTCTTTGGGTTCTTTAAAAGAAGATTTTTTTAAGTTTTTACTATATGCATATAGGGAAAATCAATGACCCCCTTGGGCGGGGCCAATTTTGACCCAATAGCTTTTATTTGAACAAACTTGGTAGACACTCATTAGAAGATGTTTCATACCAAATATCTAAGCTCTAGCTCTTAGGGTTTTTTAAAAGAAGATATTTAAAGTTTTTTCTTTCGGTTGCCATGGCAACCAGAGTTCTGCATGGAATTAAATTCTTTGAACAATTTTCAAAGGTGACCACCAAAGGAACATTCCTGTGAAGTTTGGATGAAATTGGCTTAGTGGTTTATGAGGAGATGTCATTTAAAGTAAAAGTTTACGGACGGACGGACGCCGGACGAAAAGCGATCACAAAAGCTCACCCTGTCACTTTGTGACAGGTGAGCTAAAAAACGACTCACTGACGGGAAGTGCCCTTAAACACTTTATGCTCAGGTGAGCTAAAAAAAAAATAAAGATCAAATGTTTTTCATGATATTTAGAACATAACTGAACCAGAAACAAATTTTCAATTTCACAAGTTATCATAACATAACATAACATTAATTATTTTACTTACTGGTGATGTAGATATGAGGTTTTTCCAGGCATGTATTAGAGTAGAGACAATATGTTCCCCAAATAAACCAGCATCAAAGGTTTCTGTAACCACTAACTTTACGCTGCCAGGTTTATTAAAAGAATTAATAATATAATGTAAAAGATTATTTTCAAATTTCCAATAACATATCATACTAAAATCATATCTTTAATTCTATCTTTCATACCTATTAAAAACATCTACTTGTAAATGCATATTAAAGATACAGAGAAAAAAGAAAGGAACTCAATGTGCTACCAGTAATGTAATATAAATTTTTACAATCCAATACCAGACAAGAAAGAAATTTTTTAGAAGACTGCCTTCCATTCTATTCCTGTTTGAAATGCTAAATTGTAAACTGTAACATATATCATGTATACATACATGTATATTCTGAGAAATAAAATACTTTTAACCCCATTTAACTTAAAAACGAAAACATGTTAAGAAGAAATGGTATACATGTACCTTGAAGAGAGGTGTGACGGAATTTCAATGTCTGTGGAATGTTTGTGAAGCAAATTAATTTTGTGGAAGACACCGTTAGCTTGGAGAACATCATGTGCTACATCAATCATAGCACGAGATCCATCACATGCAGTCACTTCAACAGCCCCAGAAAATTCACTCATCATACTGTCCAAAAAGATAATTCATTCATCATATAGTACTGTCCAATAAGATAATTCACTCATCATACAGTACTGTCCAATAAGATAATTCACTCATAATACTGTCCAATAAGATAATTCATTCATCATACAGTACTGTCCAATAAGATAATTCACTCATAAAACTGTCCAATAAAATAATTCACTCATCATACAGTACTGTCCAATAAGATAATTCATTCATCATACTGTCCAATAAGAGAATTCACTAATCTAATCATACTCTCAAATAAGATAATTCATTCATCATACTATTCAATAAGATAATTCACTCATCATACAATACTGTCCAATAAGATCATTCATTCATCATACTGTCCAATAAGATAATTCACTAATCATACTGTCCAATAAGATAATTCACTCATCATACAGTACTGTCCAATACAATAATTCACTAATCATACTGTCCAATAAGATAATTCATTCATCATTCAATACTGTCCAATAAGATAATTCACTAGTCATACTGTCCAATAAGATAATTCATTCATCATACAGTACTGTTCAATATGATAATTCATTCATCATACAGTACTGTCCAATAAGATAATTCATTCATCATACAGTACTGTCCAATGAGATAATTCACCAATCATACTGTCCAATAAGATAAATCATACAGTACTGTTCAATAAGATAATTCACTTATCATACTGTCCAATAAAATAAATCATACAGTACTGTTCAATAAGATAATTCACTAATCATACTGTCCAATAAGACAAATCATTCATCATACAGTACTGTCCAATAAGATAATTCACTAATCATACTGTCCAATAAGATAATTCACTTATAATACCATTGTTTAAATAAATACAATTTGTTGATGATTTACTGAACATTCCACAGTATTTGATAATTATGTTAATAACAAAATCAATTTATTAAATTACTTGTACTATAAATAAACATTAAGGGTAGAGAATACCTTAAAATTCCTGTTCCTGTCCCAATGTCCAGCACAGTATTGTAGCCTGACTTAATAGCTTTGTCAATAGCAAATTTGAATGCAATATTACGTCTTTTATCATTAAGCATTGAAAAATGCCATCTCTCAACCAAGTGGCTGCATACATTCTCCAAATTATCCCTTGCTGCTAGATAATTTGGGTTGACAAGCAACGATTTCCTTATATAGGCAGCTGCCTCCTCAACATAACCAAGCCTGAAAGAAAGAACAGTAGAGATGAATATTTCTGTTGAACTTAAGCGCAAGTTTTAACAGTCCTTCAGTCACATAACATATACAGTCATGTAAGTGGTCATAAAAACAGTATTTCTGTATCGTGAATCAATACTGATGAATAAAATGATTTCTAAAGCTAATGCCAGGCTTTTCCCGGCCTCTCCACCTATATCAGTAATTGAGAATGAATGCCTTTAAAAAAGTTCTTTTAACATCAATTGTTGTTAAACAATCAAAACATAGTACATGCTTAAAACACATGATGGATTTCATGAAAATTTAATTTTATATACATTCCTTTTCTAAACATTCAACTGTGCAATATTTTATTTATTCAATTTTATTTTTAATACATCAAGTATTCACCAACAAATGCCATCACAATGAGGGAGCCACTTTCAACTTTTTCTTATTTCTACAGAGGAAGAATGTAAAAAATTAAAATAAAGGATGCATCATTTTTTGTATGAAATAAAACTAAAATTTCATATTTGACCTTGACAGTCAAGGTCATTTACAGTAATGATCATGACAGTTTTGTCATTACTGTTCTTTTGTTCAAGAATGAATCAAATCAATAAATAATTTGGTTTTGATGGTCAACGTCATTTATAGGTCATGCTCATATTTTTTTTTTCAAATGTCAATAGACATATTCCCGAATTAAGAACATTATTTTGGGTTTTACCAGCTAAGCCGTAGGTACAAACAAACTTTTACAGTTACAGCTTCGAAAAAAAGCACAACACGTTAACCAATCTATTGTGACAGGAAGTATACTGTGAAACTATAATAGTAAGTTTGTTAGTACCTACAGATTAGCTGGGGGAAAAACCCACATTTGCTGAGTTCCGGATAACATCTAATCTGTCAAAAAACTCATTTGTTCAAGCATAAATTTAAGCTGTAAATTTATAACAAATATTCACAATTTTTGCTAAATTTATTAATGATGGTCAATGTCATTTAAAGGTCATGGTAATATTTGAATTACTAGACATGTTACGTTTTGTCATGTGTTCTTCTGTTCAAATATAAATCAAATCTGTAAATACATGTAAATAAAAAAAATCCGGCAATTTCAGCAAATACAGTTAAACTTATTAAATCTAGTGAAAATCACTTCTTTTGGTTAAACACAGAAAGATAACAAAAGTTGCAAGTCAAGGGACAGTCAATGTTGCATGTTTAAACACCTCATGATCCTGATAACAGTCTACACAATAAAACTTTTTGAGATTATAGTCCTTCAGACTAAAACTTCAAGAAAATCTATAGCCCCAAATAAAAATTTGTAGTCCAAAAATTTATTTACAGTTATCTTTTTTATTCATTGAATCACACATTGAATTTCAATGTGTACAGTTTGGAGCATTTGTAAATAAAATAGGGTCTAGAAGTAAATATATACTAATCAGGGCTCTAGCTAAACCAAAATTTTAGGCAGAAGTGACTTCTCCCTCAGCTGCTATCAGAGAGAAGTTTGAACACATAGTGAGAGGTGAAAGTGCTATTCGCATTGACTTGATCTTTAAAAAGATGTTTTAAATCTATTTACTCACTCATATCTATCTTCAAATTACAAATAACAGATCATGATAGAAATACAAATGTAGATCTTTTAATTAAATAAACATTTTTTTTTCATTCAGGAGTATTGTATTGCATAAATAATTAGATTTACAGTAAATCAACAGTAATCAAGCTGTGAACATGGTGAAGGACAAATGGTCAATCTTTTCAATTAAAAAAAACAACACAGAGCTATATTTAAGTATTATAACTCTCTGGTAAAATCAACAAGAGGGCCAAGATGGCCCTATATCGCTCACCTGACCCATCAAACTCATCCAAAATATTATTCAAAAACTAGGTCACACAGCCCAAGTACTAGTATGTAAAAACTTTGTAAGCACTCTAGAGGCTATTGTTTTAAAGACATTTTCTACAGTTTTATGAAAAATTAATCCTTTCATAGAATTTTCTAAATTTTTTGTATGATGAGTAAAATCTAATGACGAATTTAAAAATTAAAAGAAAAATATATGTTGACGTGTTGGATTTCTTGTAAAATGGCAGTTTCCATGGTAACCGTATATCTAAAAACTGTCAAAATAGCCTAACTGTGTTATAACGAATAAAAAATGTATAAGATAGCTTAAAACACACAACGAGCATTGTTTTATGCAAAGATAACCTTATCTAATGATTCTGTATGAAACAAATATTAATCTGAACATATTTCTTTAAAAAATGAGTTTTCCATGTTCCTCAACCGAACAAAAAATGAGAAAAATGAACATGAATTCTCAGAATAATTAGAGATATTGAAAAAAGTGTTTCATAGGATTTTCTAATTTTTTTGTATGTTGTGTAAAATTTAATAACAAATTCAAAAAGAAAAAGAAAAATATATGTTGGCGTGTTGGATTTTTTGAAAAATGGCAGTTTCCATGGTAACCGTATATCTCAAAATTGTCAAAATAGCCAAACTGTGTTGCAATAAAAATTTCTTTTTCTTTTGATGTTATATTAAGTAAATGATACTGAATATTTTTTTAAAACATATCTAGGGCAATATTATTTTTTTCACTCGACTAACATACCCGAACAGTAAGCAAGTATTCAGAAATTTACAAAGAAAATAATGAAATTCGGAACATTTCTTGGATATTAATTTTGTTTTTTTATTCAACACTTTTAAAATATATCATTTTAAACTTCTTTGCCCAGTTGTCTGCCAGTAATCAAGTCGCGACACACTTTCGTCACTCTACCACAAGTGGGTGGGGTAACGCGCGCAGAATTATCATCAATGCTGTCGTACTGATTTCGAGACGTTTCGGCCCCAAGACGTATCGGCCACAAATTACCCAAGACAATTCGGCCCCAGACGTTTCGGCCCTTTACCAAATCGGCCCCAGAATAAGTACTGTGTTTTAAACCGGTATATTAAAATTTCATAGTTATAATAATCATAAATGACAATTTTCATGAAGTGATTTGAAAGATTTACGATACGTCTTATATATTTTACGTAAAAGATTAAATCTTTACCAAAACCATCAACGATTAGATACTTGTTGCATTTAATGTTAACTTCAATGTTTATGTATATCTCATAATTAAATAGCTACTCGTAATTATTTCCTTGATATTGAAAAATCTAACACATTTAATTATCAGGTAAGGAAAGTTAGTTGTTCATGCACGTGAAAATCGAAATATCCGTTCATGTAATTTTACAATGAAAAGAAAACAGAAGCCATAATATCTATAATTCTTTTGTCACTGTCAACATTGTTTGATTAAACTAATTAATAAATATATAGCAGGTACATTTATGATTTGGTTTCAGTCTTTCAATCACTTTTATAACAAATAGCATCTATCATAATCTAATACGGTAACAATAATAATTAAAAATATTATCAGGAGATTATAGCAAACCGTTTTTTTAATCTTTTGAAGTTTTCTCTGATATTACTTACATAAGGCTATAAACAGTTAATAAGTTACACTTTGAAAAAAATACGTAGGCCTATAGTTTAATTAAGATAAAAAAATAATGTTTTCTAAGGAATAATTGTAATTAACTTTCTTAAACAAGAAGTTTTAGTGGTTTGTTTTATAAATTAAGGATTAACCTGCCTTTATTGTTTGTTACACCTTTAAAAACATTAACGTACAATGTATATCTAAATGATTCAAGAGATCAAAAGATAATAATTATTTAAAGAATTAAAGGGTCATAATTGTTTAATTGTAATTAAATCAATTGTTGTTAATTAATTTAATTAATTGTCTGTACTATATAGTAGGGCCGAAACGTCTCGCGGAAAAGGGCCGAAACGTCCAGGGGCCGATTTTTCCACCGGGGCCAATTTGGTTTGGGGCCGAAACGTCCTGTTTGCGTCGTACTTATGCTTGGAGAAATCCTTTATGTGATGTTGTCTAAACGACCTCTTATTCTTTTGAACCGATCTCCTTTTGAACATTTAGAAATATCTATTTGGTATTATTTACTCATTATTTGCTTATAGCCGAAATTTAAACACTTATCCGAATACTATTCAACTTGACCTTCATTTTGAAGAGTAATTATCCGTGATTATCTTTCTTGGAAGCGCATAACGATCCGCACAGAAAACTACCGAAAACGTCTTTAATTCAAATAAATAGGAAGATATTGGTCAAAAAGGTTGTTGAGATGATTTCTGGCTCAAGTTAAAATATGGGTCATCTCGGGTCAAAAAGTAGGTCATACTTTAAAAATAGAAACAAGCAATTCTAAAAAAAGTAACACGCAGTTCTATAAATAGTAACACGCAATTCTATAAATAGTAACACGCAATTCTAAAAATAGTAACACGCAATTCTATAAATAGTAACACGCAATTCTAAAAATAGAAACAAGCAATTCTAAAAATAGAAACACGCAATTCTATAAATAGTAACATGCAATTCTATAAAAAGTAACACGCAATTCTATAAATAGTAACACGCAATTCTAAAAATAGAAACACGCAATTCTATAAATAGTAACACGCAATTCTATAAATAGTTACACGCAATTCTAAAAATAGAAACATGCAATTCTAAAAATAGAAACATGCAATTCTAAAATAGAAACACGCAATTCTAAATATAGAAACACGCAATTCTATAAATAGATATACGTTGTTGTTGTTGATGATGATGATGTTAGATATCTATATATATATATTTATTACCCTTCCAGATTTTTTAAGCCTTTTTGATTGGATATTGATCACCCGAAAGAAATTGATATTACCGAGCCAGACGGGTAATATACACACTAAATTTCCCCGTTGGGTACCCCACGTTCTAAACAAAATGCGCTGTGGCGATGCCCGTACGGTTTGATTTTACGCGATGTAAATTCCGATTTACAAGCACTTTTTAACTGTCAAATGATAAATATTTACCAAAATAGAGTAATCATACATATTCTCATCAGTATTGAAAACAAATATGACCTTGTGAAAGCTTGATATTAATTCCAAAAAAGTGCGTTAAACAGACTACTCCTTTTCTCTTGTTTACATTCGTTATGTTCGAAAGAAAATACGTCATGTTTTTATGTGACGTCATGTAGTGATGAAGGGGTACCCTAAAGGGAATCTTATTTCGACGTTTCATTTGAAGTAGCAATGATTTATTTTAAAATCGTCTTAACTCGGCAGGGGAAGGGTAATAAAATTATTATTTTGGTTTTGGAGTGATATATGTGGATATATTACCTGCCAAGATAAAATCTTGACAGGTAATATATCCACATATATCACTCCAAAACCAAAATAACATATAATATACACACACACACCAATAAATATATAATTATGGTCATTTAATGCACAAATCTGAGAAAATTCAGTAATTTAACCTTCAAGGTCAAGGTCATTAAAGAACCCAAGCAAATTTGGGATTGATAAACAAGAAGGTCTGGCCCTTAAGAATGTTCTGTTATAATATGAAGTTGATCCCTTCAATAATAGCAAAGTTACAGTCAGTTACAGCCAAAACAATGAAAATTTCAATAATTTGACCTTCAAAGACAATGTCATTAATGAGTGAAGGTCAAGGTCTGTCGGGTTATTTTTAAGAGTTATCCTTGAAGATTATTATGTTCAAGTTTGAAGACAATCCATTCAAAAATAACAAAGTTACAGCCAATAATAGCCAAAAAATGAAAATTTCAATAATTTGACCTTCAAAGTCAAGGTCATTCATGAGTGAAGGTCAAGGTCTGTCTGGTTATTTTTAAGGGATATCCTTGAAGATTATTATGTTCAAGTTTAAAAATAACAAAGTTACAGCCAATAACAGCATGAACAAGCGAAATTTGGACTTTTAACCTTGAATGTCAAGGTCATTTATGGATGAAGGTCAAGGTTAGTGTGGTCTACTGAAAGGTCTTGTCCCAAGGGTTGTTGTGGACAATGAAGACAATACACAAAGAAATAAAAAAGTTATGATCCAGGTACAAGTTTGCGGACGGCAACGGCAACGCCGCCGCAACTATAGCAATACCTCTACTTTTTTTTTCAAACAAAAAAAAGTCGAGCTAAAAATAATATTTAATCTGGTCCGAAATGTCCAAAGCAATTGTCCAAAGTGTCTAACACATGATCCTAAATGTCCAACACATGGTCCGAAATGCTCAAAACGAATTATGGTGGTTTCGTCGGACTATCTTAACTTAATTTATGAAGAGGTGCGAAAGTGGTTTTGTTGATCTTATGTTATATAATAATTAAAGGAAAGTGGACATGGTTCATATATATATATATAGTTTTTTTATCATCAATATTTTGTTATAAATTTTAAATCATTATTCGTTTTTTTCAGGTTTTACTTATATACGTGTATATATTTTTATGTTCTTTTTTTGTATTATGTAATGCTTTTATGTAAATATTACTGTTATACTAAAGAAAACAATAAATAATAGGTTTAAATTTTCAATATCTTGTCTTTAATTGCATGAAAATGTGTGATAAACCACGATAATTGGCGTGCCCATCATACAATAGATAGCCTTTTGATACCATCTCTCGAACGGTACCATCTCTCGACCAAAGTGATAAATTTTATATTTGACAAATCAAATTTATGTTGTGCAGCAAGAGATAGTTTAATAAAGTGACAGGCACTTACATTTGCTTTGTTTTGGCAAAGTTCCATATTTACAGCTTCATTTTGACCATTCTTATAGTAGACGAAAGCTCAATTTTAAGATAATGGCAGCCTACTTTCATTTTTGTAATTGTGTATTTTTGTAAAGTTACCACTTCACTAATGTAGATTTGAGGAATAAGTCAGAACAATAAGAATACTTTATGAACCCATCTTTCAAGAAAAAAGAAGCGTAATTTTACTGTATTTTTATTTGTTTTATGAATGTTGACCTAGTTTCTTGATTTATTGTTTTGTTCAATCGAATATTTAATCGAACAAGATAAATCAAGTTGAACACCACTAAATATATTTCTTCTACTGTTCTCAATATACAATTGATACCATTGTCAATGTTGAAAAGGAATAATCAAATTTCGGTTGATATAAGCAAAGCTGCTTGTGATTTGTGAAGCTGTTGTATTTAAAAAGTCAGATGAATTCTCCAGGAATGTGACAAGACATGAAAATAAATGAAAATGTGTTTGTTTTGTTCTATGTTACAGTAGAAAATTTAATTAATGCTTATAGTTTCAATATAAATGGTCTCCTCTTTCTAAAAGTTATTCGTACACTATAAATGACTTGGTTCGATAATTGGTAGCAAGGGGTCAGCTTTGTTCTACTAATCAAGCACCCCAATGAGTTCACGGCAGCCATTTTTTAAGGTCATGTTGACAAATTTTAAGTAGGTCAAAACGGACACAATACATGCCTCTACAATCAAGAACTTTACTAAGTTTAAAGACTCTTAACATCCTAAAAATAATTACAATTAAGTGAAATTATTGTTCGAGAGATGGTACAACGAGGCTATATTGTTTGCACTATATAAATTAAGTTCGCCGAAACCACTACCTGTTTTATTATATAAGGTCAGTTCGCCAAACAGGTAGTTCATCGAAACCACTCTCACCCTCCAAAACAATGGTCCAAAGTGTCTAACGCATGATCCGAAATGACCATGGTCCGAAATGTCATATTACCAACTGTATGACTTCTGTTTAGTTCAATGAATTTACCTGAACAACTGAGCACCAATATTGTTGAGAACAACATCATGGTCAGGATAAAGTTCACATGCTTGGTCATAGCATTTAAACAGATCTTGAAGTCTTTTCTGCTCCTCAAGTTGCTCACACCATTCTCTTGTAGCTAATGCGAATTCAGTGTAGACATCTGCCGCACAGTCAGATCTAAGTTTTAAATACAACAGAAAATTTGCAAATGCTCGTCCATAATTCTCAGTCTGTAAACAATTCCTGGCATTAAGTAAAGAGATCTGTGCTATCTTAGCAACATTTGACATTTTCAAATATCAATTGAATGAGATGACATTGTACCAAAACAGTCAATGTTTCCTTATTTAATTGGCTAAAAAATGAAGAACAAAATGGTCCTTTCAAGGAAGTCTTCAACCGGTGCAATGTGAAATTTTTGAGGGGGATACTAATCGACGGTCTCCGCAAAATCGACGGTCTTTGACGGTCTCCAAAGACCGTCAAAGACCGTCTATTGTAGGAGACCGTCGATTAGTAGGTTATCTCACAAATCGACGGTCTCGCGATGAATTGATAAGAATAATTTAGAAATAATTAATAACAGGTCAATTAACATTTTCTTTTACGACGATGTCAATATTTAAGGATATTAATGGGGAAAGAAATGATTACATAAAAAAGGGAAAAATATAAAAAAAAATATGGTGAAATAAGATATTGTTATGCAGCAAATTAGATAAACAAATTAACAATGAAATATATTGAAATATAAAAATGTTATTGAATTTATAAATAAAAATCAAGGTCTTATATTTTTATTTAGATCTATATTATTATTGTTAGTAGTAGTTAGTAGTAGTTAGCGGTAGTAGTAGTATAAATATAAATTCGTGAGTTTATGCATATTTGCATATATTCTAAAGACCGTAGAAGACCGTCAATGGGGAGAGACCGTCGATTTGTAGTTTATAGATAAAGACGGTCTCATGGTATAGTTTTATGTCTACAAGGGCCGTCGATTGTAGTAGACGGTTGATTAGCAGGTTACTATACAAATCGACGGTCTCGTGATTATACATTAATTTGATGGATATTACATAGTTATCAATTAATTTAGCCGGTCAATAAGCAAATTCTCTAAGATAATGATTTATTGATTTCAGTATTTTTTGATAATTTGTAAAATAATAAATAAGATTTAAAATGAATAAGATAAAACATAATTAACATGCCATTTTTTTATATTTTTTTTTAATTTCTTTTTAAGACAATGAAATATATTGGAATATAAAAATGCTATTAAATTTATTAAAAAATATCAATGTCTAATATTTTTATTTATATCATAAGTAATAGTAGTAATTAGTAGCAGTAATATAATTTCGATGTTTTAGCTTAAAAAATACATACATAAATTTGTGAGTTTATGCACATTTGTATATATTCTAAAGACCGTCGAAGACCGTCAATGGTGAGAGACCGTCGATTTGTAGGTTATAGACTGTAGGAGACCGTCGATTAGTAGGTTACTATACAAATCGACGGTCTCGTGTCCAGCCAATAAGCACTTTTTCTAAGACGATAGTTTTTTTTGTGTCAAACTTTTGTAAAAAAAGAAAGAAAGATATTCCTTAAAAAAGGATATAATATAATTAATATGATTTATTGATGACTGTCAATTAATCGATAGATCATTGTTATTTTTCCAGATTTCCCCTTTTTGTATTTATGAGTGGTTTTTATTTGTATTTTTTTTAATATCAACTTCATCGATAATATTATAATTTGTATAAGTAATAATAGTATAGTCAGAATAATTTAAACAGAAAATTATTAATTTGTAAGTGTGCGCACAATTGTCTAAGACCGTCGAAGACCGTCAACAGGGAGAGACCGTCAATTATAGTCTACAGTAGTTTGATAAATATTGACGGCCTCGTGGAGACCGTCGATTAGTAGGTTACTACACAAATCGACGGTCTCGTGATTATACATGAATTTAATGGATATTATATAGTTATTTATTAATTTAGCCGGTCAATAAGCAAAACTATTTTTTTTTCTATTTTTTTTTTCTTTTCATTTTTCTTTTTTGTTTTTTTTTATTATTTTGTTATTTTCTTGTTTAAGGTCTCCGATTTTATGTTACATGAACTCCCTCTATATTATTATTATTATTATAAGTAGTAGTATAATCTCGATATTTTAATTTAAAAATCTATAAGAATGTGTTAGTTTACGCACAATTGTATATATTCTAAAGACCCTTGAAGACCGTCAATTGAGAGAGACCGTCGATTAGTAATATTATAAATATAGACGGTCTCGTGGTATGGTTATGTCTCCAAAGACCGTTGATTGTAGGAGACCGTCGATTAGTATGTAAATATACGAATCGACGGTCTCGTGTTATTAATTTATGTAGCCAGCCAATAAGCATTTTCTCTTAGACGATAGTTTATTTGTTACAATTTTTTTGATGATTTGTAAAAAAGCAAATACGATATTCCTTTAAAAAAGGATATAATATAATTAATATGATTTTTTTTAATGACTGTCAATCAATTGATAGATGATTGTTATTTTTCCAGATTTCCCCTTTTTGTATTTATGAGTGGTTTTTATTTGTATTTTTTTTTTAATATTAACTTCATCGATAATATTATCATTTGTATAAGTAATAATAGTAAAGTCAGAATAATTTAAACAGAAAAATTGTTAATTTGTAAGTTTGCACACAATTGTCTAAGACCGTTGAAGACCGTCAACAGGGAGAGACCGTCAATTATAGTCTACAGTAGTTTGATAAATATTGACGGCCTCGTGGAGACCGTCGATTAGTAGGTTACTACACAAATCGACGGTCTCGTGATTATACATGAATTTAATGGATATTATATAGTTAATAATTAATTTAGCAGGTCAATAAGCAAAACTTTTTTTTAAATTTCTTACCCTTTTTATTTATTTATATTGTTTTCTTTCCCTTTTTTATTTATTTTTTATTTCTTTTCTTGTTTAAGGTCTCAGATTTTATGTTACATGAACTCCCTCTATATTACTATTATAAGTAGTAGTATAATCTTGATATTTTTAATTTAAAAATCTGTAAAAATGTGTTAGTTTTCGCACAATTGTATATATTCTAAAGACCCTTGAAGACCGTCAATTGAGAGAGACCGTCGATTAGTAGTATTATAAATATAGACGGTCTCGTGGTATGGTTATATCTCCAAAGACCGTTGATTGTAGGAGACCGTCGATTAGTATGTAAATATACGAATCGACGGTCTCGTGTTATTAATCTATGGTGCCAGCCAATTAGCATTTTCTCTAAGACGATATTTTATTTGCTTCAATTTTTTTGATGATTTGTAAATTAAAAAGCAAATAAAATATTCCTTTAAAAAGGATATGATATAATTAATTGATTTTTTTTTGATGACTGTCAATTAATTGATAGATCATTGTTATTTTTCAAGATTTCCCCTTTTTGTATTTATGAGTGGTTTTTATTTGTATTTTTTTAATATTAACTTCATCGATAATATTATCATTTGTATAAGTAATAATAGTATACTCAGAATAATTTAAACAGAAAAATTGTTAATTTGTAAGTTTGCACACAATTGTCTAAGACCGTTGAAGACCGTCAACAGGGAGAGACCGTCAATTATAGTCTACAGTAGTTTGATAAATAATGACGGCCTCGTGGAGACCGTCGATTAGTAGGTTACTACACAAATCGGCGGTCTCGTGATTATACATGAATTTAATGGATATTATATAGTTGTTAATTAATTTAGCCGGGCAATAAGCAAAACTATTTTTTTTTTCTCTTTTTTTTCTTTTCAATTTTCTTTTTTGTTTTTTTATTATTTTGTTATTTTCTTGTTTAAGGTCTCCGATTTTATGTTACATGAACTCCCTCTATATTATTATTATAAGAAGTATAATCTCGATATTTTTAATTTAAAAATCTATAAAAATGTGTTAGTTTACGCACAATTGTATATATTCTAAAGACCCTTGAAGACCGTCAATTGAGAGAGACCGTCGATTAGTAATATTATAAATATAGACGGTCTCGTGGTATGGTTATGTCTCCAAAGGCCGTTGATTGTAGGAGACCGTCGATTAGTAGGTTACTATACGAATCGACGGTCTCGTGTTATTAATTTATGTAGCCAGCCAATAAACATTTTTCTCTAAGACGATAGTTTATTTGTGTCAATTTTTTTGATGATTTGTAAAAAAAAGCAAATACGATATTCGTTTAAAAAAGGATATAATATAATATAATAAATATATGATTTTTTAAATGACTGTCAATCAATTGAGTATTTATGAGTTTTTTTTATTTGTATTTTTTTTAAATATTACTTCATCGATAATATTATCATTTGTATAAGTAATTATAGTAAAGTCAGAATAATTTAAACAGAAAAATTGTTAATTTGTAAGTTTGCACACAATTGTCTAAGACCGTTGAAGACCGTCAACAGGGAGAGACCGTCAATTATAGTCTACAGTAGTTTGATAAATAATGACGGCCTCGTGGAGACCGTCGATTAGTAGGTTACTACACAAATCGACGGTCTCGTGATTATACATGAATTTAATGGATATTATATAGTTATTAATTAATTTAGCCGGTCAATAAGCAAAACTTTTTTTCTTTTCTTTTTTTTTTTTTTTAATTTTTTTTTGTTATTTTTTATTTTCTTGTTTAAGGTCTCAGATTTTATGTTACATGAACTCCCTCTATATTAGTATTATTATTATTATTATTATTATTATAAGTAGTAGTATAATCTCGATATTTTTAATTTAAAAATCTATAAAGATGTGTTAGTTTACGCACAATTGTATATACATTGTATTCTAAAGACCCTTGAAGATCGTCAATTGAGAGAGACCGTCGATTAGTAGTATTATAAATATAGACGGTCTCGTGGTATGGTTGTGTCTCCAAAGGCCGTTGATTGTAGGAGACCGTCGATTAGTATGTAAATATACGAATCGACGGTCTCGTGTAATTAATTTATGTAGCCAGCCAATAAGCATTTTTCTCTAAGACGATAGTTTATTTGTGTCAATTTTTCGATGATTTGTAAAAAAAGCAAATAAAATATTCCTTTAAAAAAAGGGAAAAATATAATTAATATGATTTTTTTTTGATGACTGCCAATTAATTGATAGATCATTGTTATTTTTTTTTTCGATTTTTTTAATATCAACTTCATCGATACTATTTTCATTTGTATAAGTAATAGTAGTGTACTCAGAATTATTTTAACACAAACATTGTTATTTGTAAGTTTTGCACACAATTGTCTTAGACCGTCGAAGACCGTCAACATGGAGAGACCACAGTAGTTTGATAAATATCGACGGTCTCGTGGAGACCGTCGATTAGTAGGTTACTATAC